AACAGTTGTTAGAGGAAAAAGAAAAGAAACAAGAAGAACGAGAAAATAAACAAGAAGAACAACTCTCTCTTAGGAATTAACTGTACATCCTCAAAATCCTGGCATTATGGTCTCTTGAAATTTGTTTTCCATACCTTGTAGTGTTGTATTACCAATTTTTCTGTTTCAAATTATTTGACTTTCTAAATTCAGTATCCTGGTACAACAATTATTTGTTTCCAGGAGATTCACTATACACATTTAATGTCCTGGAATAAATATTCCTTGTTTCCAAAGAATTCAACCTCTGAATACAATAACTTAAGACAATTATGTGACTCTTTCAGAGAATCCATCATGTGGAATAAAGAATCTCCCCTTCTTCTAGTCAAGTTTTTCATACTTATTCTCCAATTTCTCTGGAAAATTGAAATATATAAAGTCACTACCATGACTAATGTTTTATCTTGCTGGTGCAACAAAATAAGTGTTATTTAAATCTACAGTCAAGTTAATTCCAAGTTCTGCAGGAAAAAACTGAGTTATGTCTTCTTTCTGCAACAACTTCAAGTTTACTTTATGTTTGTTTGTTATTAAGCACAAAGGGCTATCTATGCTTTACCCACCACGGGTATCAAAACCCTGTTTCTAGCAGTATAAGTCCGCAGACATACCACTGTGCCACTGGAGGGCTTAAGTTTACTAAAACAAAAAAGTGGTTTGTGATTAATCAAAATAAGGAGTAATATATTTAATCACAACAACTAGTGTGAGTAATATCTTGTTCAGTACTTAGGTAGTAAAGATGAACTACTGTACCGCCCCTAATTAACGCCTCTGGGGGTGTTGCAAATTGCAAAGGGAGGGGCACTAATTATAGTATTTGTGCAGTTCTAGATTCTATTTTTCACCTGTGATTTGTTGATTTCAATGCCAATAATTGCGTGTTTGTTTTTCTTCTTATTTCTTTCAAATCAAAATTACAGTAATAAAAGTGCTGTCACAGAAGGTAAGCTTAATAAAAATAACGGGGAATAATTAGGGGACAATACAGTATCTGATTGTAGATGGATGACTTTCTCTCTCTAATGAAATCTTCACAGTAAAATAAAGTGAAATTCCTTTAAAATAAAAGGGTTATTGTAACAGATAAGAAGCTTGAGTACTTAAAATGTTATCAACAAAAATTTATTGAAACTTTCAATGAAAATTATAATTTCCAATTAATCATTTTTCTCTATATGATGGTACTTCAGTGTCTGTCGAGCCATCTCCAGCACTCCTTCATATGTCTTACTTCCACCAATAAAACCACTAGCATGAACAAAAACACAGTCTGGAATTCCACTCTTTTCACTAAGCTCTTCATTTCGGAGTCCTCTCCATTCTTCAGGCAAAGACAACCTACACAAAGCACTAGAGTGTTATAAAAGCTTTGACTACATTTATTGTAACGTTAGTTTTGCTTAAAAAACAGGTTAAAATTACTTTATGATAGAAAAAAAATGTCACACGTTACTCTTCACTACTGCACTTAGGTATTTAAAAAGTATTGAAATTCAAGTGATTTAGAAAAACATGGTGAGTATAAAGTAATTAATAAGTAATTTATTTAAACACTTGTAGCATTAATTATAATATATAAGATTAAAAATAATTACAATGACATTCTACAAACTATGATGTCAATTCACTTTTCAGAAAACACCTTCTAAGCCACTGACATGGTATATTTTAATAAATAACACATTTTCTAAATAATACATACTTTAATTTTGATAATAAATTTCATAATATGTAAAGTTTTCCATGTCCATTTGACTTTAAACTGAATAAAAGAAATTAATAATTTTATACAATGCATGAATATAATCAAGTATTTTTTGTGAAATTATTAAAAAAAAAGTGAACTATAATGAGGGACTGTGCTAATTATACCAGTAGAGAGTGTCAGTATAGTCAGATACTTGGATGTCTATATTCTTCATGTTCTTTGTCTCACAAATTATCATGCTTTCTATTTGCTTCATAAATATAATATATCAAAAATGTTCCAAACGACTTGTGTGCCAGGATGTTCTAAGGGAGGTTGTCATTTGTGACCTTTAAATCTGGAATTGTCTAGAAAGTGGCTTCAGACGGGACCAGTGAAACCCGAGGAAAGGAATTGTTGTCTGTCATAACCAAGACAATCACACCACAGTTCATGAGAAGAACTGAGTGG